CCCTCTCTCCATCACCCATCACCCTCTCTCCATCACCCCCACCCTCTCTCCCTCACCCATCACTCACCCTCTGACACAGAGCAAAAAACAAAAAGCTGTTTACAGAATGAAGAAATAACCTTGAAATGTGTCGGATGCAGAGAGGAAGAAACTGCTTTTCTACTCTGCTGATAAGGAGAAATTTCATGGACAAAAAAAGTACGAGCAGCTGAAGGACATCGTTTTCACTTTCTTTTTTTATTGTGTTTCAATAAAAAGAACGTCCCATAAACTGAACTCGGCAGCCGTAAAACGCTGAGTTTTACCAACCAGCTGAGCTGATGGGGGCCGAGGATGGGCGGAGCCGAGCGGGACATTTGATGTGCTGTTTGATTCATGTTTCCCATCCTCCCCCCACACAGAGGTCCCTTTTTACTCGGACCCAACATCGGTCACGTTTTATCCGTATCCCTGTTGAGTTTAGAAATTTTCCAAAAGCCACAGGGGGGGATTTTGCCCCAGGGGAGTTTGTGATGGGGGTGGGCAAGAAACCCTTGAGGGGGGGGGGGGGGCTTGCGGGGCCTCGTCACTCACCATGATTGGTCGACGGCTCTGCAGTCTCTGGGAGGCCTGACAGCGGGTGCTGGTCCTCTCGCCTCGTGTCCACCGCTGGTTCACCAGCTCGCCCCGGAACTCATTTTCTGCAGAGAGAACAAACCGGGAGGACGAGAAAGAAGAGGGGATGAAATCCACAGCATCAGCACCGATGGACGGGGCAGCCGTTTGGGTGAAGGGAGGGGCGGGGTGCTGCTTTGAAGGAAGGTCAGGGCAGTGGAGCATGCTGCAGACACTCCTTTATTAACTCAAAGAACACACACACACACACACACACACACACGGCTGAGAGCCCCAGCTGGGCTCTCTGTCAGTCTGCTATTAGAATCAATCAAATTTCCGCATTTTTATCGAGCTGTTCAGGGTGCATATGTAAGCATAGGGGGATGGGCCATGTGAGATGAGAGAGGGTGAAGAATGGTCAGTAAATAATGAATCATACATAAATCAAGCCCCCCCCCCCACTCTCCTGCTTTCATCAAGGTAATGGCTCTTCACTATTCCTCAGCGTGCAGCAGAAACACACTGAATCCCTCTGATGGAGGCTCCCATGGCAAACAGGAAGTTGTCTCAACAGTGAAAGGGTCGTACCCCCCCCCCCCCACACCCCCCAGCTTCAAGTTCAGAGAGAGTGCAGAATAATTTTCTATGAATGCCCAAGGCTGGAACTTTTTAACTAGTAGCCGTGAGACTCCACACAGGCGCCGCTCGGTCTCTTTTTATGCACTGAGCTGGTACACGGAGAACGGAATCTTCTCTATAAATGTATTGATCCAAACCATAGACGCACGTGTGTATATAAACGCATCAGATTTCATTTGCAGTGAGCAGCGTAGCGTGATTTTACAGCGCCTCACTGTCTTATCAAAGACAACATCTCACAGGAAATGAGAAGCTGAAGCAGCCACATGGTGGCCGAATAACCCCGACAGACATCACCAGCACCACGCCGCCCATTCAAACCATTCTCACCAGAATGGCGTCCACTTTCAGATTGTAAATGATTGCACTGAGTGAGGTGAGACGTGTCCATCTGGTGTCTCTACCTTTCCGCGTCTCCTTGTCCTTGCATCATCGGTGCCGTGAGCCCACGGTGCACGCAGAGTGCACGCTAAGAGCAAGCCGCCTGCGAGACAACAAAAGGCTGCCCGTCCGTATGTGAAGAGCCCCCCGCTCGCCCCCCCCGCTCGCCCTCCCTACTTTCTGCATTGAGTGCAAACCTCGGCAAAGCCCGGCCAGCACTCTGCAAAATGCTTGTTTATCAACTTCCACTCCGCCCTCCGGAGAAAAGTGATGACAACAGCAGAACCGCAGGTCTGCATCTCTGTCTCCACAACTGGCTGCTGCCTTTTCTCTCCTAGAGGAGGGAGGCGAGCGTCCCTGCTTCCTTCAGCCAGGCCGCACATCTGGACAGTCGCAACTTGCATAAGATATCAGAGGTCAATTAATCACAGAAAGAGGGTTCGATCTTCTATGTGTTGTTGGGACCTGAAGACGCGGAGCATCACGAATCGGCCTCGACTCTTACTGAATGAATGGATTAAAAATCCTATTTCATAACCTCCCTCTTTACTGCCACAGTTTGGTTATCATCAAGTTTTTGGCACAGGAAAACTTTTGTCAGAGGACAAAGTTTGGCTTGAGTAATACCATTATGGCAGCTTACTGTACAGGGACAACGCGGCCTATGAATCCACAGTTATATTAAATACCGGGGCGAACTGTAACTCTATTAGCGTGCGCGGCCAGCGGTCTTGGTAAGCAGGATTTGGAGGATACTTGGTGTGATTAGAGTCGGAGGAATGAAGAGTTGTGGAGCGCGACGCGACGGATCATCTGGCAGGTCTTTTGTTTGTCGATAGATATCCATAAAAATACAATCCAGATAAACCCTCGAGTCGAAGCCCTCACTGGCGTTACCCAGCCTGCAGCTACCAGCAGAGTTGGGGTGAGGTGGTTTTATTACTTAAGTAAGTTTAAGGGCGAGAGTGGAAGGGAGGTCATCGCCATGGGAACCAGCCGGCGGGGCTCCTCTGAGGGCCCACCTGCACTCAGCATCACGAGAACAACACTACAGGGACCAGGGCACCTGAACGTCCTCCAAACTGTTCTGAACGTCATCATTTCCTCTCTGAGAAGGCAAGCGCATATACTTTTTAATTAAATCTGTTTTTTTAAATACTTTTTTTTATTTATTTCCTTTTTAATACATGGCATGAAATTCATTATTTCCAGGCTTTCATTTTAAATGCCTCGTCTCCATTGAAAGCCGCCAACCCTGACCTTTGCTTGTATTGCTTAGATTTCTGATAGGCTTTGAATGACGAGGGTGCAATTTGGCCCCAGCTGCTCCTCCAACATGTTTATTGCCCTCCCTCCTCCGGCACCTGCTGCCCTCGCCACGGGGCCATTCAGCCCTGCGTAGATAGAGACAGGTCCTATCGCTGCAACTAAGGAACAGACAGAAGCAACTTCAGGGCCTGTGCCGCAGCAGCCGCTGACAGCGGCACCAATAACCTCATTCTGTAATCCCCTGGAACCAGGCTACGTTTGCTCAGGAAGAGTGAACGAGAGCAACAAGGTGTTTCATCAGGACGTCCTGAGCTCGCTGTTCATCCGTCCGTACACATAACGCTCTCTGCACATCCCTCCTCGCGCTTTCCTCCCCCGGTCGGAGGGGCTTGGGAGCTTTTCCTGCGCTGGTGTGATGGTCCTGGGACAGAGGATGTCGTATGTGCACAGATTGTAAAAACCCTGAAGCAAATTTGTGATTTGGGGCTTAAAAAATGAATTGAATGAACAGCGTATTTAAAACACCTAGCAGGTCATATTTACATTTCAAAAGTCAGTAAAACATCATAAAAGCCGGATATAATTCCCGTTGGAGGGATTTACAGACATTTTCCATAAAAAAGTCCAACTGGCGTGATTTTTGTAAAAACGTGTGCTTTTCAAACAGGGTGTTTGCACGGCGGATGTCTGCTGAGCGAAGCGCTCACATCTGGAGCAGCGGCGGCAGCGTGTCAGTGCCGGAGCGCGCGCGCACCGGGGATGAAGAGCAACTTCAGAGCGGGTGACATAACCCGGTATCATCATCCCTCATCTCCTTCCTCCATCTTAGGACGCAGGTGCTCCGACAGACCGCGAGGCGCACACGCGCAACGGAAAACACGCGCACAGACTCACGTTCTCGGGTTTAAATCCGACCGGACGGAACCCGGCGAGCCCGCTGCTGGTTCCGCGCGCGCTCCACTTAGTTTGCTCTTATTTGATGAGCATCACTAACATCTGACATTTGAACAGAGCATCTCTGCTTTTTTACTGCAGAGGATCAAATGGCAAACCCCTCCCTGTGTGGAACACACGCTCACTCCATCCCTCCATCCATCTGCCCGGGCACGCGCGCGCGCACACACACACACACACACACACACACACACACACGGGTCCTACTCAACGCCCGCGGTAGTATCGGAATAATAACGCAATTCGGTGCCGGATCTCGCGGTTTGACGGGCGCGCGTGTTCCGGTACCCTCGGAAGGTGAAACCAGAGGACGGAGTGAAAAGTGTCGGTTCCCCCGGAGAGCATCGGACTCAGGAGCGGCTGACGCGAGCTCCATTCACACACTGTCACTATGAACACTGATATAAAGCATCAGACACCAAGCGTCTCATCTATTTCTGCCAAGAAGATGCACATCGTGCACGTTTTGAAAATGGAAATAAATGAAACGAATAACACTTTGATAAAAACAACTGGTAAAGTGTTGAAAACTGTCTTTGTGAGGAAGTTTGAATTCATATTTATACATCAAATATAAAAACACTGATTCCGACTAAAGCCCGCTGCCGACGCGTCTACAAAACACCGCGGGGCTGCGGAGGAATATCAAAGTTACGCAAAAGCCCTTTAAAGGCCGTCGGATTTGGAGATGCACCATCAGAAAGCATCAAAACACAAACAGGGAATTACCTCCGACCAACAGTCTCCCCCCCGGCGGCGCGCTGCGTCCTGGCGGCGTTCGGAGAGTCGCGGCGTCGCCGTCAAGTAGTTTGCTAAAAAGATATATCCCGGGTAGACGTCTTAAAAACGATCACCTATCCCGTTACAAATGTCCACATCTGATCAATTACAAGCGCGAGAGCGAAGGCTGTTCCGCGCGGCCTCTCCCACCCGGCGCGCGCTGCACGGCTCCGGACCAACGCGCTCAGAGGCTACTTGTTTGTACGCAAAAACATGGCTTCATTTGCCTTTGTCAGCGAGAAAAAAAAAAACCTAATATTGACTTACCTTTCCCTCATGAGCCATTGTGCCCCCCCCCTCCCCTCCCCTCCCCTCCATCCCCTCTGCACACCCCCACCTCATCCCTCCGCCCTTTGCCATGACATCACGGAAGCTGTAGTAAAAGCTCCAGCATCAGATGGGCAAGGCTTCGGGTCCCCGTACTACACTCCCTCCGATGTAAACACTCTCACTCTCTCTCTCATCCCGTCCGCAAAGGAGGGAAGATTGACCCCCCCCCCCCCCCGCCCCCCTATCCCAACGTGTAACATCATGAAACATCTGTACCGAGTCCGAGACACCAAACAGCGGCTCCTGCTCATCTCCTGGATGTTCTTCAGTTCCCCACATGTAATGTGGCCCCGTCCAATAACTCCCCCCCCCCCCCCCCGGACTGAGGGTCGGCCGACCGGAGATGCTCGTGACGGCCCGCAGCGATCACTGCTTGTTGGAGCTTTCTTTAAGGTTTACCGAGAGTCCGCGGTTGCAAACAGCAGTCAGCTTGGAGTCTTTCCCAAACGCTGCTCTGCTTCGCTGTTTTTCAAGCCATTAGCGGGAATGACAACCATTCATTACAAGTCATTTGAGATAGTCCCCACAATGCCATCCTTTATCTGCTGTCTCCACGCCGGCACGCAGGAATATTCAAAAGGCCCACCCTCAGCTTGCAGAAATTCTATAAATTCTTATCTCTTGGCCCCAGTCTCTTTTGTGCGATCCCATTGTTATGCATTGGGAGCAGAAATCAATCACCGCCCCAGCAGTGAGATTTCAGACCGAGGAGAGAATTCACTCAACAACCCCATCAACAATCCAATAAACAAAAGAGAGAAACTATGAGGGACGTCGGGGCTGAATCAGCGAAAGGGACCCTCACCCCCCTCACCCCCCCCCCCCCCCTCAACCCCCCCCGCGCACACACACATATATCTTAGAAAAGAGTAGTTGTCCCAAGACAATTCATATTCATTAAAACGACTGTTATTTTCCTGTGGGGTTACAGGACTACGGACAGCTCCGCAGGGCCGGGCACGTGCGTGCGCGTGCGCGTTCAGAACCGCGGACAGTTCCGGCCGCTGAGCCGAACTTCACATGAACTATTGTTCCAAAGCTTCTGTCTGAACTCTTTCAAAGCTATTTTCCGTCTAAAATTAGATTAGATAATCGGAGTATATGAGAATAAAACTTGTCCATCCGTAAAATAAAAGGATGCGACAAAATATTTAAAGCGCACTAACTTTATCCTCAAAACGATTGTCTTTTACAAAACAACATTTTCACAATAAATCCCCATCGAATCAAAGTGGACCTTTTGTCTGCTGCTCTCAGCCTTTGTTGTGTGTTTTGTGTGACCACTAAACTGTTTGTGATTCAACAAAACAAACTAATAACCAGCATACATACGTAATGTAAATAAGTCTATTTGTTAATAAAACGAATGGAAGCCAAAGGGACAGAGTACATGTATTAATTCAACTACAGCGATATAAGTACAACTTTTTGTTCCCTGGCAAAGCCTCTCTGCAGCTGCAGATGGCAGAGGGGCCTCCAGCACGTCACTGCAGACTATGGCGCATATTGTGCAGCCAGTATAAATATTACATGGGGCAGCAGCTGACTGGGCGCTGAGGTTGGGACGGGGGAGGCCCCTACAGCCCCCCGACAGATGGAACAAGCCGACAGACCAACACAACAGAAAAGTTTTTAATAAGCCCGCAGCTTGGCATTGTCCCCACGGTACCGGGGCCACACGTCCCCTGGGGGACCAGCCGCCCTTTGTCTGCGCACTTTCTTCCCGCGGGGGGTCAAAGTTTAGTTTCACTTATGAGCTGCGAGAAGTTTATTCAAATATGTCCGCGTGGGACGTTTGCGGCGCTGAGTTTAAGTTTAAAAGTCCCCGCTGACGTGATCACACAGAATTACATTTAATCCTCTCTCCTAGAACACAAACATGAAATAACTCTGGATCTATTCACGTGCGCGCGCGTGTGGATGATAAACAGAGACGCATGCGCGGTGCGGCGGCGGCAGGTGAGCGGGTTACGAACCTAAGAAGGTGCGACACAGCTTCATGTTGGCGCTCCTCCGTTGCGTCTCTCTTCCGTCTCTGAGCGGCCGCCGAGTTTTCTTCTGCCGAACAAAGTTCCTCAAACTTTGGTTCAACTTCCCCGGACGGGGAGGGCGGGCCGCTGGGTGACTGACAGCGCGCAGGGCCAACGGGGCGGCGCTCCGTCCCCCCGCCGGCGGGAGGCGGACCAATCCCGGCCTCCCAGTTTGCCCTTTCAACAACAATAGCCCGAGGAGCAACAAAGAGCATCTGCTGCTCGCACAACTTCTCCCACTAAGCTCCCCAGCAATGTGAGTCCAACTATGAAACCCATGCTGCTCATTCACGCTGCACTGTTTATCAATCTGCACGATTTAATATCAAACCTCCGCGTAATACACAAGAACAAGCTCTTACATATCACACAAATGCCACACAAAAGCTTTTGTCAAGGAGGATAAAACCCTGTCAAACTTCACAGGCCCACCTGTGATGTTATGAAGCTGTGATCTGCATTAGAAGACTTCCTGTTGTTAGTGGTTTTATTATTTCAGTGGTCTAATCTCTGCTCCTGTTCACCGGTGTCCACACACAGCAGATGTAAAGGAGAGGAACCTTTTCCCCGTGACTCCGGGCCTCTTCAGTGTCTGTGTCTGGGACGGACAGACAGGTCCTCCCTCCCAACAGCAGATGGTCTGCCAGATAATGAGCTCTCCCATTGCTTGCTCCCATTACCCCCGTCTCTCCGCCGTGGACGGGGGGAGGGGGTGTGAAGCAACCGCAACACATTCGACGGCTTTTCTTTACACTTCGCTTCATTTCCCACACATTTGATTGTAAAATAGTTCGGATGAATAACAGATTGTGTGATATTAGAGTAAACTTAGAAGTAGAGCTTGATCGATGTGTAATATAAACTAAACTAAACCTCAACAAGTCTTGTGTTATTACACTAAGCTGAATGAAAACACTCTCAACACAACCTCCAGTCACATTTATAAGCCTGAATAGATTTTCTAAAATATGAATCTAAACAAGACTAAAGTAAAAGAAACACAATTCAATCAGTTATTCAAGACTGAATTGACACAACTAAAGGAAAGTAAAAATAATTAAAAACAAAAGGGAATCAAACTAAAACTAAACGGAATAACACTACACTTAATTAAACTAAAGCAAAAATAATAATAACTTGGTCCAAATCAACTTTCACGAAACCAAACCAAAGTGAGAAAATCTGAATTATGAGTCAAAATTGTTAAATACAATTGTGTAGGATGTAAAAATGGAATAACTGTGTCCAGCTAACTTTATTCCTCATGTTGAGCTTGAATATGAATTCACTCATTTTTATTTTGATAGAAAAATGATACGAAAAGAAAGAAGACTGAACAAAACTAAATGAATTACTGAGCCCAAAAATGTCACAACATAAGATCCAAATGGACCAAACCATCATGAAGCAAATGGTTGACCAATGTTATACGTCCACATGGTTATTATCAAAAGGGACTAAACTAGGCTAACTTACTTACTTGGTTAGTTGTGACATCTAAACGGGACAGTTAAGCGACATTGTTGTTAACGAACGTACCTGAACTCAACTAACCTAAACTATGTAAAAGAAACTCTGTTGTTTAACTAAACTAATTGTTTGTCCTAATAAACATTTTAAACCTGAACATTTCCTGAGTGAACAAATCTCTCCTCCAAACACCAGACAAAGAGAACAAGACATAAATAATAAATATCCTGCCTCTTTGGTGTGTGAGGACAATGACGGGGACGCTGCTACGGAGGACGTGTCCACTCGTCCACTGAGTGTTTTATCTGAGCGTCCAGACAGCCTCTTATTCTTCCTCTCATTAGCCTGTAAACTCCACTGTTCAGCCCTGCTGTCCCACCACACACACACACACACACACACACACACACGCACACGCACACACACACACACACACACACAACCCCCCCATTCCTCTTATTCTCTGCTGCGTATAGCAGCTGAACTCTGACACAGCCTCCAGCTGTCCTGGAGACGGTGTGACAATAAGTTTACACAGATACACGCACACACACACACACACACACACACACACACACACACTCAAGAGCAGTAAGCTTGTTGAGAAAATGACCCACGTGAGCTAATTAATGGTAATTTCATCATAATCATTATTCAAGAATCAAAGCGTGGGCTCCCACGCGTTTCTCATCCCGATGCAGCATCTGGAGGAGTCATGACTTTCTCGCGGAGGGTCGCTGCGCTGCTGCAGGGGAAACCTCTCTGGCTTCATTACATGTGTGCGTTTGGGTCTGAAGCAGGGCAGGAGCTGCGTAGAAGTCGGGGAGACTCTGGGTGTCGGTTAGCGATGAACCTTCGTCTTCGTCATGGCGCCTCTGAAAGGTGAGTCCTGCTCCGGGTGTCATGACGACAATCAGTTGCCTCCTTCTCTTCTTCTCTCACTTTCTCCCCCCCCGGCTTCCCCCCCTCCCTCCCTAACATCCACGCTGCACATCGTACCCGTGTGTGTCAGCTGCCATTACACACAGCATTTCCCCTGCAGCCATCTTTGTAGTTTCTTTAAACATTCATGCGTGTTTGGGGGGAACAACGCTCCCCCCGGCTTCCTGTCGGGGGGCAAACGAGGTCCTCGCGTGTGCAAAGCAAGCTTCCATGTGGAGACTCAAAGGGGACACAACCAATGTGTATTTGCATGATTGATGGACCTGCTGATTCCATGTTTCATGGACTATTCCTACTCAGCACAGCCTCCGACTACGCGATCCGCTCTCCCCTCCCGCAGCTTCAAACACGTCAGATGCAACGCAGCGAATCTAAGCCGACACAGAATAAACAAACACCCGTTCAGACTCATTTAACTATTCATTCGGATCCAAATAAGTCAACGTCACCTCCTGGACAC